AACCTCACTGACCTATACAACCTCACTGACCTATAGAACTTCACTGATCTGCAGAACCTCACTGATCTGCAGAACCTCACTGACCTGCAGAACCTCTGACCTATAGAACCTCACTGACCTGCAGAACCTCACTGACCTACATAACCTCACTGACCTACAGAACCTCACTGACCTACAGAACCTCACTGACCTGCAGAACCTCACTGACCTACAGAACCTCACTGATCTGCAGAACCTCACTGACCTACAGAACCTCACTGACCTGCAGAACCTCACTGACCTTTAGAACCTCACTGACCTATAGAACCTCACTTACCTACACAAGGTGACATCAGTGAACAAGGCCAGGCTGGTTCTGGCAGATCTTGATCATCAGTCCATGGTGTGTTCAGGTGTCTTCCATCTTTCATCTGGACGCAGGGATCTGCTGCCCAGATGTAGGAGGAACAGTCTGAACAACTCTTTCATCCCTGCAGAGATCAGGCTTCTCAATGAACAGAGATAATTTATGTTATTTGAACGTCTCAATGTTTTGTCTAGTCTGGATGTTTTATATCTACTGACTGTGAAAATAATTGTCCCTTGGGGATAATAAAGATTCTTGAACTTGAGCTTGAACTATTCCTGGGAGGTGAAAAGGAACGCTAGGAAGAAACCTTGAAGTCACCTCAAGTCATGAACCATGAACGGGACCAACTGGGCCACGTATCGACCAGACTGGAGCACGTCACCTCATCAGAGCAAAGATAACATCCTGATCAACCAAGCGGTCCAACGACCACCACCTGGGCAGATGACCGAGGCGTCTGTAGATCCAGACTCCTGAAGGATCCTCAGTCAGTCGGAGATGGTCGTCCTCGTCAACGAGGAAATGCCACAATCGACCCCAAAGCCTCGACCTCGACCCATTTAACTGAACGCCTGAGCTCTGTGTGAACTTGGTTGATGGAGACAAAACAGCTGAGGTCCAGGTGACTCTGGCTGAAGGACTAATACTGAAGTATGAGTGTGGAGAAAGATCATGATGAGTGGAGGGAACTGTCTCAGGCATCTTCATTATTGCTTTTCAGAACGACGATACTATCTAAGGTTTCCTCTCTGTGGGAACTGTTTCCCTGCATTAATTAGTTGAGACACAGATTTCTCTTGGTTGTAACTAGAAGGTTAGAACGTTAGAAACACGTGAAGCTCCGTTTCATCCAGCGCTCCGTGTTCTCTCAGGTTTGAACTGCTCTGAAAACATCCTTCTCCCTAAATGTGACTCAGTGTTTGTTGGGGGTCTACAGGGACCAGCTGGGGGTCTACAGGGACCAACTTGGGGGTAATTAGACACTTAGAAGTAATTTTTATTGTAACTCAAACAACGAAGCACAGGACGTTCAGAACCTGAAAGTCCAGTGTGAGCAGATGAACGGAGTTATCCGGTGGTCAAGTGTTGTTTCCACCCACCTGAAGCCGGTTCTGCTCACGCTCTGTTTTGTAGTCCTTGTCCCCTGTGGGCTGTTTTCCAGTTCTGAAGGTCCCCTGAATGCCCCTCAGGCCAAACGGATAACAAGTCACTTTTTATAAAGAGCCGGAGGAGGAGAGATTACCTCATCCCACGAGCCAGGCAGCTGACGAGGGATGATTTATGACTGGGCTGCAGGAGGAGAGGCTGCTGATCCGCCGGCCGGTTCTGGAGAGGCAGAACTGCAGGAATCCAATCTGGTGAGGCTGGCAAAGCAAACGAGCAGCTGCGGCCTCTTCTCGCCCCACCGCTAAATAAGATAAACTAACACGGTTAGGGAACAACGCAGAAGGCTTCCCACAATGCCTCAGTGAAGGCTTGGCCCGAGCGTTTACCTGCACTCGAACGCAGCACAGCTCTGCAGACTGAAGTGATGTGGCAGGCAGCGGGCTGTTTGACCTGCAGAGGCCCTGAAACACCCCGAGAGGCAGCGTTAGTGTGGCCTCTGATGAGTCGAGACAGACCTGCAGAGCAGACTGTGTGGGCGGAGCCAGGCCGACAGGAAGCAGCAGAACAGGTTCCTGAAAGCCTCGGCGTTTCGTTCTGTTTAAATCTGACAGAAGCAGCAGCGTGAGGCTGGAAAACCACATCTGACCGTTTCGTGATCCTGCTTCTGGACTTCATCCTCCCTGGACCAGGTCCAGATTCTCACCCTGTTGCTCACCTGCAGAGGAGACAGGGACACCCTGGACGTGTCTCCAGTCCATCACGAGGCACATATATGCATATGCAGAGGAGCTGCTGTGTTGGTCCTCCTCCTCCTCCTCCTCCTGTTCCTCCTCTGGCAGCTGATCACCCACCAGACTGTGGGTCCCAAAGCCCCTACTGGCTGTGGACCCCGAACAGCAGCAGGTTTGCTCAGAGACTTAACAGCTTCTGAGCTCTGGGACCAGAACTTCTGCAGCGGTTCATCTCTGAGGGGCTTTAAGGAGGCTCACAGGGAGGGAGTCTTCTGGTTTGGTTCTGGTTCTGTGCTGCCAGCTGCAGCACGGCACCGAAAGACGAACTGTCCTGAAACATGCAGATTAAAATCAAACACTCTCTGTTTGTGCTCCAAGACAGCTACAGGTGAATTAGCTTCACCTTAAAATTAACGGGTTCACAACATTTCAACACATTTTGAATAAAAACCGAAAATATTTATGAGCAACAGCTAAACATTCCAGAAGTCTTCAGAGTTGAATGGAAGCAATAAAAAGTGTTAATGGAATAAACCTTACCTGTGAATTATTGACATGAATCCATGAAAATCTGAAGTTTGGATGAAATGCTCTCATCATTTAGTCTCTGAGAGGATCCTGGAGAGGAGATCCTGAGCTTACAGAGGGCCCCAGGGGGGCCACAGCCCCCACTCCCTGCTGAAGCTTCACCAACTTGCAGCTGCCTGGACGAACATGTACACCTCACATCAGCTGCGAGGACGAACATGTACA